TTTGGATCGTCCTCTATGTTACGGGCTCCAACGTGATGGCCAAGCTGCTTTCGGTATGCAGTTTTGTATTTGTACTAATTGAAAGCAGAAATAATAATTATCACTTCTTTTTAAATTGCAATTTAAATTCCCTGTAGTCCATATATTTCGTTAATAGGTTACCTATTTACATAGCTAATAGATTTATATGATTAATTAATACTTAGTATATTTTTATAGCTGATATATACTTGTATAGTTTATATTTAATACATATTTTGCATATTTTCCCAATATTTGTAGTGGTTTTATTGCATGTCCAGAATATTTTAATTGATTTTATTTTCGTTATATACTATCTCATTGTAATTTTCTGTATTTAGTTTAATTAACTTTACATCATTAAGAATAACATTATCTCTGGGAGGGCACCAATATATGACTGTTAAAATTTTAGACCTCTTCTTCTTTTCAGTACAAAATATCTGTATCCCAAAACGTGTATCCACTCTATACCCCACTATTCTTTTCACTCCTTAAGACTTACATCACTAGCTATGTCTCTGGATGCCTTTGCTGACTGGAGCGGTATAGCATCAGGAGGAAGATCATAGCCTTTTCTCTTCAGCTCTTCATATCCTAACTTGTAATGTTTCTGTAGGAGAAGGATTCAAAGTAATTATTGCAAATAATGCTCTCTAGAGAGTTTCTCAATATCAAGACTTTCTTCCTCTGACAATTGAAAATAAATCCTGAAAATCCAAACAAAGTCTCATTCAGCAAATTAAATTCCACAGCTAGCTTTTCGTAATGTGTATTTTGTAATTGATGATATAAAATATTAAAGAATTATTCATAGAGTCTCCTAGAGGTGAATAATAAAACTCCATGGTTCTCTAAACCTAATTGAATTTGCAATTATTTTTGTATTCCTGAGTTCTTATGATAGAGCTGCTAACATTTCTTTACCTTTGCATGTAGACTATGTTTGTTCTATTATAACCAGGAATTTGATGTAAATTTAATTCTGAAGAGGCAATTCATTATAATCAGACATTTCAACAAGAATCACAGCTTTACTGAAAAGGATTGAATACCGATTTACAATGCTAATATTACCACTAGGGATGAAAGAGAAAACTGCTAACTTGTCTTGAATATTTTCTTGGTATTTTTTATATTCCAGCAACTCTTCTTTCACTTTATATTTTAGGAATTCTACTCAGCTTCTCAATGCATCACAATTTTCACAGGTAAAGACCACAGGTGTGCTTACAGCTGTTAGAACTGCAGATTTAACCTGACTGCTTTTTGAGCTGAAGGCACAACGTGTAATCCAAATTCCGCAAAAGAATCATTGTAAAGACACACTTACATCACTTGTATTAATTAAGTTTGATTTAGCCAACAAGATTTCAGGAGTATCGGGCATAATGTGAACCTGAGTCTTGTCCTTGTCCCAAGCTTCTCTGTACAGTATCTGAAAAAAGATGCAAACAAAAATACCTTGTCTGATAATCAGCAAATTCAGTTCACCTTTTCTCTACAATAGCAAAGCCAAGATGTACTATGCAAGCATGAGCGATGTAAGCAACACAAGATATTTCAATCAAACAATACAATGACTTCTTACTGAAATATCACACTTTTTTCTTCTTTATATCCATGTAATGTCAAGGAAACAGCATCATGACAACACATTTACATCTGTGCAGTAAGGGTCTTATTTGCAGTTCTTACTGAAAAACTTACGCAGCTCTTCTGAACAGGGCACAGTAGTGCAGCAGTAAGGCTAAGGCACTGATTGTAAACATCTGATATTTATATATTTTAAGAAAATGTTCTGATATAGAGATCTAATGTATTCATTTATTGAATCACATGTTCTGTCTCTAGAGGCAACTTACATCACTTCTATTTTTGGCATTAGCTTTTGCCAAAACGAGATTCATGGCATCTGGGATACTTGTGAACTTAATAGTGTCTGGGTGCTGCCGGTATTTCCTTTCACTCAGTATTTCAGAGGCTTTCTTGTTCTTTTCAGATTCTAAAGATCCCAATGGACTCCATCCAATGCCTCTGAGCCATTGTAGGTCTGATCTATACACATTCTGATAAGGAAAAAAAATCAAAACCAAAGTAGATTATTTCCCTGTTTTCCTTAAACCATATTAAAAGACTAACTGGTATTTTAGCTTCAGTCTGATCTACACTGACATCAAAAGAGAGTTATTAAATATATTTCTCACCAAGCAGTAAATATCTTCCAAAAAATAAATCAATTAAATCCAGAGGAAGCTTACATCACTCTGTTGCTCGTAGACTCTCTTTGCCTCGGTGACATCAACCTGGTCTGGCAGACAAGTCCAGCGATGCAGTATATGTTTGTAGTCTATATCACTAACCAGTTCCTGACACTTCTTAGCCAGAAGGAAGCCTAACATATCCACGGGCATATTAAACTTTGTCTTCCACTTCTCAAAATCTTTCTTGTACTCCCGCTCACTTTGCATCTTAGCTACTTGCATAGACCACAACATCTTAGGATCATCCTCTAAGCTGCGGAATCCGATGTGGTGTCCCTGCTGCTTGCGGTAACCTTCTTTGTACTTGTACTAAAACAATAAAGATTGCATTCTTGAAATTACAGTAGGAAACAGACAATGGTAAAATACATAAGCAAAATATCATTATATTCCCTCAGTTCGATGTCTGTCATTACCAATGAAATGAGCCACCTGTGATGGCATCTCATGGAAAGTTTTAGTAGCCCCTTGATTACTGTGCGGTGCTTGGGGTCAGGGAGTGCTGTCCACGGGAAAGCACAGAGTCCCAGGATAGGAGGAGCACACGGCTCTAAGAATGCTCTCCTGTGCCTGTCATTCACACAGTCGTACTGTTCACAACTCCCAAAGGCTGACATGCTGAAAGGTTTTAATGAATAAAATAATCGGTAATGAAAAATGCAGATGCTTAAGCATTGGAAACATTTCTTAATGACTAATAAAATCCCTTCCATAAATGCAGGAGTTATACCAAGCGATAACAACAGTATGTGTGTCACCATGACTATTTTTGAGCTGTAAAGAGGATGTCTCAGTATATGCACAGTGATCAGTTGGCTGGACCAAATTTTCTGCTCCTCTGAAACATGACATCCAAAAGAGCAGATAACTTCTAATTTTGTATGACCAGTCACTTTGTGGATGGACTGCAATCTTTGAAATTGTCGAGGCACCAGAGCAACCCTTTTTAAATTGTTTCCTTTACTTACAAGAACAGATTAGAAAAGAGTTTTGTTAGCAATTTGGCTTTTTAAAGTGGCTTGGATCACACCTTAGCAGAGAGGTGTATCTCACTCTACCGTGACTGTAGGTTATAGCAACTAGATAAAGTGTATGTCGTATTGAATCAGAAACGTTTCTTACATCACTTGCAATGTCCCTTGAAGCTTTGGCAGTTTTGACTGAAATGGCTTCAGGTGTGAGGTCATAGCCTTTCTTTATCATTTCCTCCCAGCCGAGCTTGTACAGTTTCTAAAATTGAAAACAACATTAATTAAACAGTCTTAGTAATATGTATGTCACCTTCTAGTTAGACATGCTACTAGTCTAGTCAGACTAGTCTAGTTAGACATCCATACTACTGAATTCTGGTCACCTCACAGGCTTCAGTTATCAGAGGAGGGTTACTGGAATGGGAGCTGAGAAATGGGAAACTGATAAGCAAGGAAAGCAGGTCTTCCACGTCTTGGGCTACAGACTGAATAGCTTTTCATTGCAGCAGCAGCTTCCTCCTATATCTTATCTTGGGGATTTGAAACGTATCTGGGAATTTTGAAATATATACCTCTGGGCTAACTGACAACTTCTCCGCTGGCTTAACAAAATTTTAATTAATAATGCTGAAAGGTAGCCATTTAATAGTCAATTCAGTTTATGCACAGTTGGTTTTAAGTACCAGCACTTGAGAGTCAAAGATTCGCTTCTGAGCAATCACACAAAGCAAGACCTCACACTGGTGCAATTTTCCCTTTTTCATATCTGAAAGCCAACTGAAAAGTTAGAATTGCTGCATGTATTTCTCTGAAGTAAAATATATACACAATAAACTTGTAATTTTATAGTAAGAAAATTTTAACATGATTGATTTCTATGGTAAGCATAGTATGGACTATGCACATCCACATTTCAAAAACAGGACTTATATTTTTCATACATTGTAATGTATTTTAGGCTGTTACTTTGCTAGGCTGAAGATGGTACTTATTGCTACTCTGAAAATATTACTAACATAAAAATTCTTGCCTCTGCTCTAAATTCCCCATTCCATTTCTTTTACCTTATACAAATTAATTACTTATTTTGAAATGGGAAGCATCTTTAAATTTGAAGAAAGCAGATATTAATTTAAAATGCAATAGGAAGTATTAAATGACTCTACCTGACTGTAGTTCGCCTTGTTCTGTTTTGCCTGTAGAATGTCTGGTGTATCTGGCATCACATGAACCTGGATTTTATCCTTCTCCCAAGCTTGAGTATAAGCATGCTGTTGAAAAGAAGTAACACCAGATGTGTTAATACAAAGACGCCTCTTTCAGGGTTTTCACCTTTCCATTTGTGCACTTTTTATATGGATGTGTAAAAAGATTAAGGTGCTGACTTCAGCATATTTTACTATGCAATAACCTAATCCAGAATCAGCTGAATTAGGATCCAGTCTTGCTTGTAATGAAGGTCAACTATTAAGATTTTCAGGGCCAGCAGTTTCTATACATGAATTAAAAGAATAGAGGTCAGAGACGCAGCAATGAGAACAATCAGAAAAGACTTAATTAAGGAAAGTTATTTATCAATAACTGAGTGTTTCATTAAGAAAAAAATGAAAAAAGAACCTGTGCCAGCTGTTTTCCCAGGGAACTACTGCTACATAAAGGTGGCATCAGAGACTTATAGGCTGTTTATTGAAAGGGATTATATGGGAATGTCTGCTTAACTTTCCCCAGAAATACTCACTTTGTTCATTATATTTGCGTTCTGCTTTGCAAGGACCATATCCATGGCATCTGTCTGCTTCGTAAAGGGGAACATGCTGGGATGCTGGCGGTACTTCCGATCACTTGCAATTTCTGTGGCTTTCTTCGATTTCTCCACATCCAGAGAACCAGCAGGACTCCAGCCGATACCCTTGAACCACTCATTGTAATCCTGCTTGTACTCATTCTGCCAAACAGAGCAGAAAAGGAAAGTTCACAACTTAAAAATGGCTCATACAAAACACTTCAGCTGTTTTCAAATGCAGTCATAATGAAAAAAAGGAAAAACAGTCACAGTCGTGAGTGACAGAAAGAAAACAGAAACTTACGTCACTCTGTATCTGATTCATGTTTCTGTACAATTCTAAGCTCATCGCGTCTGGCAGAAGCATGTATTGGTGAATCAGGCGTTTGTAGTTACTGTTGGTTATACGATCCTGGGCCTCCTTGGCTGCCACAACGCTGAGCGCATCGACAGGCATTTGGTAATGCGTCTTGCTCGTCTCGTAAGATTTCTTATATTCGCGATCAGACTGCATCTTAGCCACTTGCATGTAATGGACAAGTTTGGGATCGTCCTGAAGGCTGCGGAAGCCTACAAGCTTTCCCTTGTCTTTTTCATAACCTAATTTGTATTTATACTGCAAAGAGAACAGAGAGGTTAATTCTACTTCATCTGTTTACAACATCTACAACATCTAATCTGTAAGAAAGAAAACTCTAAAACTTAGATTAAAATAAGATTTTTACATAGTCAAGGAAATATGGCAAAGCATACAGATGTGGTAACTTTGTCCACTTACTCCTGTGGTGCACTCTAAAGCAAAACAGATGTCTACTGTCTCTTTTTAAAGCTGTATATTTAAAACACTTTTCGTAGTAAATGAAATCGCCTTACAATAGTTTATTCTGCTCCTGCATGAGGTTTAATTGCTTTTTAAATCTCATTGTAAATGACACAATGAAAATATGAAAGATAGTGACAGAAAGCAAAAGGCAAAGGGACACATAAAATCCATTTTGCTGAAGACAGTTCTTTGTATAAAAAAATGTATTAGAGCATACATCAAATATATCAGAATAAAAAGACTTCATATGTTTGGCATACAAAATTAAACCGATTCAAGAAATGAATGTTTTACAATATCTGGAAATAGATGATTTTTTTCTTTCAAGAACTTACATCGCTAGCAATATCCCTAGAGGCTTTGGCAGCTTTAATGGGAATAGCATCAGCTCTGAGGTCATATCCTTTCTTCCTAGATTCTTCAAAGGAAAGTCTGTACATTTTCTGTGAAAAGAAAGAAGAGCAACATCCTTTGAAAAAGCAAAACACACTACACTCACTCAGATAAAACTCTATTAATTTTACAGCTTAAACGACAGACTATTCATATGTTTATCACTCCTTGAACAGTTGTTTAAGGCACTCAGGGTCACAGAGAGGTGAAGTCCTTCCAAATTAGCTCCAGCCCCAGGATGCATACACCACACTGCGCTACAACCAGTGACACGAAACAGCAAGAAATCACATTTCTTTCCCACATGCATAAATATTGGTGAAAAGTTACATCTATAAGGATGTCACCTTTTAAAAAAAGAGATAAATATCTCCATTTCTGTGCAAATTAAAAATGTGCACAATTACGAATGATGTTTTGTCTAGCATATGCAGATTTAACATCTTGCTACTGAAAATCTGTCTCCAGTATCATCTCTTATGAAAAGAACAGGTTCAATCTGCAAGGATTTTGAATCCAGTCCAAAACGTTGCGCATGGGGAAATGAAATAATAAATACAGTAACAAACACAGATAGTACTCAAAGCCTACTACTTTATTAGTAACTATTATATTTTAATGACATACACAAACATTTCATGATGTGACAATAAATACTATGGCCTTTTCCGGGCAACTTCTGGTATTTAATTTTGGAGAAGGAATTGGGGAAAATGAAAATTAATGACTTTTGAAAATTATGACAGGTTAGCAAAGTGAGAATTAAGGAGACTTTCACATGCTGTCATCTCACTTATTCCTAATAAAAAGACTAATGTCAGAGTCTTCCAAACAGTACTCACATCACTTAAATTAAACGCATTAACTTTTGCTAAAACAATCTGTGGAATATCTGGTGTGATGTGAACTTTCTTCTTGTCTTCTTCCCATGCTTGTTTGTACTTGTGCTGGAAGGATAAAAGAAAAGAAAAAAAGAGAGAGATGTCAACCAAAAAGATTAAATAAAGGAATATTTCCTATTGGAAATAGAAACTATCTTTACAATGATGCAACTATTAACATGATAGGAGCATTTGTCTTCATATTCTAGCACCTAAAAGCACTGTCAGTCAGGAATAGCTCTCATGAAGTTAATTTTATGAGGGCAAAATAAAAGTAGAAGAAATACTAATCTTGCTAGAGTACTTTGGTGTTTATCTCTTGTCAAGTGTATTCAAGCACACTGAAAAGCAGCAAACAGTTTCCAAACATACTGAGCCTGGCTGGGATGGTTAATTCTCTCCAAAGCAGCCTGAGCAGTGCTGTGCTTTAGATTTGGGACTACAACAACTCAGCTAACATACTCATGTTCTGGCTCTTGCTGTGCAGCGCTCGCACAGGATCAGGACCGTCTCTCTCTCTCTGTCTCTGCCTGCCCCCACAGGGAATAGACTCGGGGGGTGTAAGTGGTTTGGGAGGGGATGTAACCAGGCAGGTGAACCCAACTAACCAAAGAGATATTCTGTGCCATAAAGCATCACGGTCAGTAACGAAATAGAGGAGGGGTTTAAGGAGGTCAGACATCTTTTGTTTGGGAACTGGCAGGGCATCAGTCTGCACATGGGAGGTGGCCAGTGATTGCTTTTGCATCACTTGTTTTGTACTGTTTTCTTTCTCTCTTCTGCTTCTCCTTTTCTTATTAAACACTTTGGATTTTGACCCACAAACGTTTTTTTGCTTTTAACCTGCCTTTCTTCTTCCCCATCCCACTGCAGGGAAGGAGAGGAAGTGTGCTAGTGGCTGTGTGGTGCTTAGCTGCCTGCTGTGGTTAACCTGCAACTAAAAGCCAAGCCAGAAAATATATAAATAAAAAATTGTTAGAGGTGGAAGATTACTAGTTTATCTCCTGGAAAACACGTATCAGTTGAGAAGAGCAATAGAACCTTTCTTAGAAGAAATAGAGCTAGTTCCTGTAACTGCAAGGCATGTGAAGCCCAGACATTTGTAAAGAACACCAGCAGGTTACATCAGTGCAGCAGGAGAGTCAGAAAAAAATACATAACTCATTATAAAAGCATTCATATCATGTAGCAATTTCATATTAATTTAATAGGCATTGGAGGAAACAGACTATGCAGTTTAAATTCTACTTCTGAAAGGGATCACTCCACTATTTTCAGCCTCTAGATTTAAACTGCTAAAAATGAGCTATCTCAGGCAAACTTTATTAATAAAAGGGACCCCCAGGTCTGTCTTTATATGTATTTCTTAGCAAAACAAGGGTCATGCATTGCTTTCAGGTATATCAAAGGTCAGGTATATCACAGTCAAGCAAATGCTGCCAAAAAGGATAATTTCCAAAGCTATGCATGTGTGCTGGCTTGAGTACCCAGCCCTAACCCTCAAGAGCATACAAGGAAAATGACTATTACATCAGGTGCAGTTTGTTTCTTACTTTGGCAAACTTCCATGAATTTTGACAAACACTTTCCTACCTCATCCATGATTTTAGCATTATTTAAAGCTAAGACCATGTTCATGGAATCCATTGGAACAGAATACTTCAGCTTGTCTGGATGCTGGCGGTACTTCTTTTCACTAACAATTTCCATGGCTTTTTTGTTCTTCTCAGCCTCCAGGGAGCCCAGTGGCATCCATCCAACTCCCTTCATACTTTCATCATATTCTGCTCTGTATTGATTCTGGAGACAGAATGAAAAGAAAATAATCAGGTGCATGAAAAAGTCTGTAAGTAGTGAACAACCATTTTACTTCAGACATGAGAGTGCTTATTTCTGAGACCAAATTATTCAGCAATAGGCACATTTTAATATTTCAGAGTCTTAGAAAAATAAAATGGCTATCATCGCTGAAGAACTGCTTTCACTAAGAAAACAGTACTATTTATCTTACAGCCTGCTTTCATAAACAAAGCATCACTGTATTCACAATGCAAAGGTTGAACAATCTGTCACTTACATCACTTTGTAACTGCATCATGTTTTTGGCTAATTCAAGACTCATAGCATCAGGCAAAACGTTGTAGGTATGGATTAAGCTTTTGTAGTTTGCATTTGTAGCCACTTCCTGTGCTTTCTTGGCCGCCACAACGCTGAACATGTCAACCGGCGTATGGAAATTAGTTTTTGACTTCTCATAATCTTTTTTGTATTCACGATCTGATTGCATCTTAGCCACCTGCATGAAGTGGACCAGCTTGGGGTCGTCTTCAAGGCTGCGGAACCCAATATGCTTTCCTTTTGCTTTTTCGTAGGCCAGTTTGTATTTATACTGACAGCAGGAAAGAGAAAGAACAGTGAAAACTTACATCAAAAAAATGGACTGTTAAGATCACTTTTATCTCTGAAACTAGAAAATATTAATTTTTTTTCTTCACAAGATCTCAGATTTAGTCAAATATACTCAGTCTTACAAAACAGCCCACTGAACACAGACACACGAAGCTCAGCTTGCTGAACGAAGTGGAAAAAAGCACAATTCAGTGTTTTCCCACCGCAGAGCAAGTACTGCAAAGGTTTATCCCATCAAGCATAGAACTGAAATCCAGAAAATTCAAAATGCTTGAAAAAACAAATTCACACATTACAGAGCACTTTGAAAACACTCTGACTGCCTTTGCAGCTACTCTGAGTACTATTACAGAATCAAACTTACATCACTTGCAATGTCTCTGGAGGCTTTGGCTGCTTTTATTGGGATAGCATCAGGCTGCATGTCGTAACCTTTCTTCTTGTCTTTCTCCCATGCAGCTTTGTAAAGTTTCTAATTTAAAACGTAAAAGAGAACAGGTACTCTGTTATGGAAGCAGAACTACTGAAGTACCCTGCACCTGAATTTAAACATTTTCAAAAATGACGTAAAAATTACACCAATTTTTAATCTGTGCAACAGATACCAAATGCCCACTGTGAGCCCGTTAACTCACGTTACTCATTGTGATCTGGTTCACTCTAGACTGCAGAATTTCTGGAGTATCTGGCATAACATGAATGCTGGTCTTCTCTTTGTTCCATTTATCAGTGTAGAGCCTCTGCAATTACAAGGTACCATTTAGCATTGAGAAGGCATTGCACTCCTAAAATGAGCTTGCTTTTGTTCTCTTTTGCAAGAAATAATACTTTACAGTGTAGTAAAATTCCATAAGCACTACAAATAATCTTCACAAGTATAGCTGTCAAGTGATGATATTATACTCCTCCTCTTTCTTCCGTACTTTATTTGAGAAATTTGCAAAGTATGTTTTGATAACTAATATCTATTCAAACTGAAATGTTGCAGTCTGCATTCTTCCCTGCTTTAGTCCAAAGCATAAATTATTATGTTTCTGTTACAACTCCTCCTTCCACGGTAAACATGGAATAAGGATCAGTGGTATCCCAGAGAACTAAGGACAAATTTAAAGAACTCCACTTTTCAAGGAAACTTGCAAAACCGACAGAATTTCTGGGGTTGTGAGCTAACTGATGATGAATACTACTGCCTGCAGAAAAAGAGCAAAGCACTACAAATCTGGAGAAGACATCTTTAATCGCATATACAAACAAGAAATCTTAATAAACACAAAATGAAAATCCCTTAATTATGAATATAGTCTGAGGCTTCCATCATCCTAACCAAGGAAGAGCACTATACCAATGGAAATTTTGGCTTCAGCGGGAATCCACCTGCCCCACAATTTTGCACAACAAAGACCCAGCCTCTGGCTCGGTCATGATCATCTGAACAAATTCTCACCTTATTCATGGTCTGGGCATTTTGCTTAGCTAGCACTTGCTCCATTGCATCTGTTGGGATAGAGTACTTCAGCTTGTCTGGGTGCTGGCGATACTTCTTCTCACTGAGAATCTCTGTTGCTTTCTTGGCCTTTTCCACATCCAGGGACTGAATTGGTATCCAGCCAACTCCCCTCAACCAATTATTAAAGTCTGCTTTGTATACATTCTTTTAAAAAATGAACAAGGAAAACCACAGTAAGACAAGAAAAATTAGAGTGCCCATATACATAAAAACAGGCTTAAAACTTCTCAAAGTCATTCATTTTTGAAGGAAAATTTAGACAAGCCTGTTAAAACTGCTGTTATTTTTCCAGATACTTAGCATAACATTAACAATCATTGATGTGTTAGGGAAAAAGAAATTCCTTTCGGTAGCCTAAGTGTAGAACTCATACTACAAACCAAATGCACAGATCTTAGAACACACTTTGAGAAGTAAATGTGAAAGTCTGACAAAAATAAAATGATTTTTTTTAAATGACACTCTTGTTTGTTAGTATACTGAGTTAGCTGTAGAATTAACTCAGAGAAATCATTTCAAGAACTGCTTAATGACCTGGTTCTGCACAATCTTGAATAGCTGCCATTCCTGTTCAACCATACTTTAGACCATGACTTTTAGAACAGATTAAGATACGAAAATGCTGTAAAAATAAAGCCTGTTCCTGCACTGCAGTGTTAGAAGTAACAGGGAGCATATCAATTGTCCTCTCCAAACAACCCTTAGAATCTGAAGAACAGTTTCAATTAGATTATTAACATTTGGGGGAATTTCACATTGTCAGAGGACTATTAAATAAAGCAAATTAAACTTTCTAGATAAACAAGTAGGCCCTAAAGTTACAGTAGCAGAAAAAAAATAAAATATGGACATTAGTCACAAAACTTAAAGGAAACTACAAAGCTATTTTATGAATCCTCATCATGCATGGCATGTGCGTCTGTTGGAGGATAAAGGCAATAAGGAAAAGGTGAAAAAAAAAAATCTCAAATCCCTAGATAAAATACAAACATACCTAATGTGTATTTTCAGTAAACTTAAATAAAATATAGTCAGAATTTAGACTCTACATAATCTATGGTCTCTGACAATACAAGTAAGAATCACAGTAATAATACATAATAAATACAAACTCAACTACAAAAATACATGATTTGGAAAAGGATGTTAATTTCCTGTGAATTAGCCAAATATACAAAGACAGAAAGAAAGTTGTTACTTGCTAGGTTAAGTTCCCCAGATTTTAGCAGCTGCACATAATTATGATAATTTTACATCTCAGCCTATGGTTAATCCAGTATAGTTAATTTTTTAGCCTTAAAAGATAACTGTAACACAGTCATTATGAGAAGAAAAAAAAAAAAAGATTAATCATTACATACATCACTTTGAAGCTGCATCACATTTCTTGAGAGCTCCAGATTCACCGAATCAGGCAAGAGTGTATAGTGATGAATGAGCTGTTTGTAGCCAGCATTTGTAACAGCTTCCTGGGCTTTCTTGGCAGCCGTCACGCTGAACATATCCAAAGGAGTATGGTATTTGGTCTTGGTGACTTCATAATCCTTCTTGTATTCACGATCTGATTGCATTTTTGCCACATTCATGTAATGAACAAGTTTAGGATCATCCTGCAGGCTGCGGTATCCAACCTGTTTGCCTTTATCTTTCTCATATGATTCCTTGTACTTGTACTAGAGACAAAGGGGGGAAAGAAAAGCCTTACCCACTTTGGAAAGAGAAAGCATATTTTTAATTTTAATACTTTGAACCTCAACATTTTAACAATGGCAGTTCATTCTATAAACTCATAATTTTTTTCAGACAGCATAGAATTATTTAGCTCAAAAAAAGAGGGTTGCTGGATTTCTCGGCGTGTCTCAATCCCTGCTATCGATCTCAACATAGATACATGGTTACATATATTCACCTATTGGAGGAAGGCATGTTTAAGTGGGGAATAGAAGTCATTTGCAGTCTTTTGCTAAAGTTAGTGAATTTATTTCTGTGTTCCAAATCTCCTTTCACAGCTTGTGTCAGACGGCACATCAAGCTTTGCTGCTGCCAGTTGATGTGGCTGCCTGAAAACAGCCCTGTTTCTGTACAGCTTGTGAATGCTACACAAGCTGAAGAACAGGTCTCCAGCAATTTAGAATACAGCACAGGGAAATTATAACAAATCAACTTTCAAATAAGCTGGTGAATACTCGAAGCACAAACAAAGAGCCTCAGCTCACCAGCACTCACACACATTCTAATGCAGTTCCAGAGAAACAGGTTTTTTTCAGAAATTCTTGTAAATGTCTGAACTCACTCGTTATTTCACAGTATCATAAGAATTTCAGTTCTCAGATTTAAATGTCTCTATATCATTACATGAGCATAGCATGTGCTTGATAGCATAATATGCTACAGAAAGCTGTAGATGCGTGTATTCTGCTTTGTGTAACTTATACTTACATCACTTGCAATGTTTCGAGAAGCTTTAGCAGCAATAATTGGAATGGCATCTGGTTTCAGGTCATAGCCTTTGGCAATAGTTTTTTTCCAGTCTGCTTTGTAGTTAGCCTTACAGGGAGAAAAAGGTATGAGTAGTAATTTTCACAAAGTTGTTTAAGTCCATATTTTTATTATAGTTACAGGAATCAAAATATTTGGTTTAGCCCATGCAATTGCACAGAAAAATGTTAACCTGTACACAAATTACAATTATAGTATGATAAATAAAGATAGAAGAGTCCTTCAGGACAATCAGTTTAATTCATATAGCTAAATCATTAACTCTATTGGCATTTTTTTGCAATTTTTATGTGGAATAACCCTCCAGTGGCATTTTTGCCCTTGCTTAAGCAAACTTCTTTTCCATTTGGCTGAACCTTCAGAAATTCTTTCTTGTGCGCTTCAAAATTGTGGTCCTAAGCAACTGAAGAAAGCAGTCTGGCTGATTTTTTTTGTTAGCAGTTAGTGTCTGAACAGACTAACATCATTTCAAAGCTGTTAAAGGATAGGTCAGATTTAGCTGAATTCAGAGCTTGTGTATTTCTACATTTAATATCATCACATGAATAAACAGAAGTCTAGTTGTTTTTTTTTCTATTAGGTAAACAACAAATAAATATATTATTGAACAAACGTGGTTATATGCTCACATCGCTCAGATTGTAGGCATTGACCCTGGCTTGAATAAACTGAGGAACATCAGGATCCAGGGTGTATTTGTGTTTCACTTTTTCACCCTCTTGCTTATATGTTACCTGCAAGGAAAAATAAACAAATACTTGTTGACAAGAACAAGGTAGATAATATCAGTGTTAACAAATAGAAACAATGCAACGATGCTTAATTCTTACTGACAAACTACAATTCTACTATTTTTACAGATTTTAAAGTTAAAAGGTTTTTTAGATCAAATACCAGAGAGCAATATATAAATCATAAACATGACAAACCCCCAAATCACTCTATTGCATTAATAATGAAAAATTTCTTACATCACTCAGTTGTTTGGTGTTGTGCTGAGCTAAAACCATTGGTATTGAATCTGGTATACTTGTAAATTTGATGGTGTCTGGGTGCTGACGGTATTTCTTTTCATTTAATGCTTCTCCAGCTTTTTTAGCTTTTTCGACATCCAAAGAACCGAGAGGACTCCATCCAATACCCTTGAACCAGCTGTTATACTCTTGTTTGTATGTATTCTGCAGGAGAAAAAGCCAACACGGACCAAGATTTTCCCAGAGAACTGTAATAATTCTGTTTAAAATAATAATTACATAGTCCAGCTAATGTGTTCGACATTAGCAGGAAATATTTATAAATTCTTGAAGGGGAAAACAGATATTTTCTATGCTTCTCTGTGAAGAAGTAATCTTTAAGAAGTTTTTTAAGTCTTTAAGAGGTCTTAAAGAATAAAATAAAATTACATTAGCTGTAAAATGAAATGTGAAAAGAAAAATGTTCATTTGAATTCAATATTGCAGAAGTCTGGTCCTCTCTGATATGCCAACACCAAAATCCTGTTGAGCAGAGCTCACTTGGAATTTGATATTTCTAAAGGCCATCACCAGCTGATCAAACTTCTAACGATCTTCCCCAAGACATAAGAAAAACAGACCATTCCTATACAGGAATGGCAATTTTCATTGGATATGAACTTATTTTATTTTTCACGGTGCTCAGGAAAACGTCCATGAAATTGCAATCACTGAGATACTCACATTGCTCTGAATTTGCATCATGTTCTTTGCAAGCTCAACATCCATGGCATCTGGCAGGTAAGTGTAGTGATGGATCAGATTTTTGTAGTGGGCATTAGAAGCTACATCCTGAGAGTGTTTGGCAGCCTGGATACTGTACATGTCCGGAGGTGTATGATAGTTAGTCTTGGACTTCTCATAGTCCTTCTTGTACTCACGCTCGGACTGAATCTTTGCTACATTCATGTAGTGAACAAGCTTAGGATCATCTTGCAGACTTCTGAAACCAATTTGTTTTCCTTTAGCCTTTTCATATGCTTCTTTGTATTTATACTGGAAACAGAGGAAAGAAATCAAATGTACCGTGGCATGGCTATTGACGTGCACACTAATTGCAAAAGAAAAGAAGAGCTCTGACAGCTTTCACTGGAAAAAGCAGCTGCAAGCAGTTCAGAAAGATAAACTCTCCTGAATGGCACACGCAGTGACAGGACCTACGTTAGCTTGTCTTGCTCCACATTCTAAGCCTGTACAGAACAGGTTACACCACAGTAAGATTTATCAATATTGTCTTTTCTTCTAAGGAAGGGAAAATATTTCCTAAACGTGCTTGTGTGGAAAGCTGTATGCAAAATATCAGAATAATTGCCACAATCTTTCTCAGTCTTTGAAAGCAATAGCAAACAAACGGAATATGGACAGCTTCCTCTAGCTCTATGACACCACAGAAACATATCCCACTTTGTACAGTTTGCTCTCCAAGGCCTTCTGATTCATGTATGAGCCATGCTCCACCGTCTTGTGGTCTGTAAATAGGTGCTCGAGTAGCATATTTTCTGGAAATCTGTCACAGAATGATTGCAAGATCCTCTGATTTAATTTCTCCTGTGAAAAGTGAGTTAGGAAGCACAGCACGAGAGTGTTGGTCTCTCTAAAGCACACAAGGTGAGCATAAAATAAGTTTTGCACTAACTAAGCCTTTAGGAAAGACTAAGATTCTCTTTCGCATAGTATTGACTCTAGTGAGATTTGTGCAACAGAGGAGGTCTACCATATGGCATGTAGCGGACAACTTTTTTACTAAACACCTAAGAACAGTGTACTTGGAATAAATACTTACATCACTAGCAATGTTTCTTGAAGCCTTGGCTAGAGAAATTGGAATAGCATCAAGCGACACGTTGTTCCCTTTAGCTATTAGATCATGGTAGCCTTGTTTATAATAGGCCTGAAAAAGAAAATCTATATTATTCTAGAGAACCACATGGACTATACACAAATCAAAGCTACTCTTAATCTACTTCAGGCAATTCTTTAGAGGTAGATGCAGTGGGGATCATATATGACTATCAGTCTTCATTTATGAGAAAATATTTAACTATTAATTAAATTAATTAATTACTTGATTAAATGGAAAGTCAAATGACACCAACAATTAAAAACGTACAGAGATAGAAGCTGATTATCTACAACCATGTATCAGCAAAAAGAATCTGCAATATGACTGTATCTGTAACATATTACTCCAAAATTCACCAACAATGTGTAAAATGTTTAAAGAAGTCACTTACATCGCTGATGTTAGCTGCGTTGTATCTAGCTTGGATAAAATGTGGGACATCTGGGGTAAGAGTATATTTATGTTTAACTTCCTCTCCAGAAGATCTGTACAGTTTCTGTAAAGTATATGATACAGAGATAAATCCTTCCTTCCTTGTATAGCTAGCCCCAGTAACTTAACTGAGGATTTTTGCAAATAGATATACATTGCCACTTATCTTACAAAGATTGAGGCTGCATTTTTCATACAAAATTGTTGATTTTACTGATAGAGGGAATGCACCTAAGAGCTCTATGCAGTCTTTATGCAGAAAAATTAAGCCCTTTTGCGGACATAAAAACCCATTTCTGAAAGAGTGGGATAATAAGGGATGGTAGGAGAGTGCAAGATAAAACAAAGCTTGTTGGTTTATAATGACACTTTATCAATCATTTTGTAATTAATGATTATTGTAGGTGGTAAAACATCAATAAACAACTTGAAAATTTCACATTTCTTAAATCAAATGTATTTAAAATAAAATACAAATGGGCAGAATCAGCTGAAGAAAACTGAAAGAGTCGCATGATTTCCATGGAGATTTACACATTTACACCAGGAAATTTCACAGGCAAAATCAGAGCACAAACCAACGGCAATACAGGGGAACATATTCAGGCTAATAGCAGTTAGAAAAATTTAAAGGCGGTGCTCAACTCCTCAGTAGATACATCTCTACCACGACACCCATTTCTTTCTCTACTTACATCATTGAGTTGAACTGAATTCTGTTTGGCTTGGACCATTACAGGAGAGTCCACCACACTTGTAAATTTAATGGTGTCCGGATGCTGACGATACTTCTTTTCATTCAAGGCATCTCCAGCTTTTTTAGCTTTTTCTACATCCAGTGAGCCAATGGGGATCCAACCAATTCCTTTCATCCAGTTATGATAATCTGCTTTGTATAAATTCTAAGAAAGGAGTGAAAACAATGGTTTGAATGTTAGAAGTGGCAAAAAAAATTCAGGGGTCTCTCCTGAATCTTCACAGTTTTTGCTTGAGGTATCTCAAAAAAATTCTGGTCACATAAGACTCTACTTACATCACTCTGGATCTCCATCATGTTTTTGCTTAGCTCCACACTCATCGCATCTGGTAAATAAGTATAGTGGTGTATGAGGTTCTTGTAATTAGTATTGCTGGCAATCTCTTGAGCCTTCTTGGCACCAACCACATTGACCATATCCAGTGGAATGTTGTTCTTAGTTTTTGTCTTCTCGTAGTCTTTCTTGTACTCTCGCTCAGACTGCATCTTGGCTACCTTCATATAATGAACGAGTTTGGGATCATCTTGGAGGTTCCTGAAGCCAACAAGTTTACCCTTGGAGAGTTCATAGGCTTTTTTATAGTTTACCTGTTTGAATGTAATCCGACATGGAGAATATTATCCAAAGTGCAGGAACTCAGCAATAAGTAAATTAAAAGCAAAGGCTACCCTTTGTTCTCTGCATAGCCCTCACATTTAAGTCAGCGACCACACATCTTGACAAAATCATTCACGTATCTCTTTACAATTCATTGCCACGCAAACCAGTTAGCTTTCAAAGTAGCATTATCTCACTTGTACTGATCACAAGAGGTAGAGGAGTCTTAAAATGCTAAGGGACTTCTGCAAGAACATCCCTAGGAACCTGCCCAAAACCCAGAGATGGCCTCGAGTCTCACATCTCATTTACGATCAGGGCTATAATTGAGGACAGAGAGAATTCAGCGGTCTGCTGCTCATGGAGCTGTCACAATTGACCTACTCCTCATGATTTTTCATAATCATACTAGAGTGCAAGATAGCCTATTTATTCACAGAGAATTACACAGTCACGCTGCCTTTTCTGAATGCAATTATACAAATACAATAGTGAAGCAATGAAACACCAGTAAAAAGAAAACTGTGTTAAATATGCCAGATAACGTGCTCCAAAACTCATAGAATCATAGAATGTATGGAGTTGGAAG